TACAGGCTATAGGCAAATTATGACTGATGAATGTATTAAGGATAGTGGACATGTGGGAGAAATGGAGTAAGGTTACAGATCAGCCATAACCTCAGTGAATTGTAGAAGAGGTTTGAAAGGGCCACAATGCCTAATAAGAACAGCTGTAAAGGGTTATGAGGGATAAATCTTAGTATTTTTAAAAGATTGGGAAAGTTCTGAACCAAATGTATCAATGAGAAGAAAATGGTCAAAAGTAAGATGGAGCATCCTGGGAGAGGAGAATTGTAGTTAATAGAGGATAAGTGTTATTTGGTTGGCTAACTGAATAAGTAATTCAGTAATTTAAGAAAGAAGGAGGTTACATTTGAGTTGTGTAAAAGCAATATGAGTGATATTATAATGGAAGGTAAGTAAGTTAATTATATTCAAGAAGGATAGATATAAACTAGCATATTATTTGCATAAAGCCAGCTACCAATGTGAGCTGGACTGCTATGTAAATGTTGTGGTGCGATACTGGAATGAGGTATGCATGAAGTTCCTTGGATGGATGGTTGTGGTTATGATCTCTTGTACCATAATAATGGTGATGCTATACAGCTTGGTGCAGCTGTTGCTGAGGCTCAGGGGGAATAGGTGACTGTCTAAGGCCCCTTCTGCCATAGGACTCAAAAGGGGTTGCAGGCTGTGTAAAACAATCCATTTAATGCACCGGAGAATATTTGGGGTTGGCACTAAATTTAAGTGCATTGTAAACATAACTTGTAATGTCAGATGTAGTGATGTGATTTTCACATTACATAACAATTCAAATTTGACATTATATAATGTATTTGCAGATTTTATGAATAAGTATACATTTCGGGGATAAAAATGACCTTTCATGCCATAATTAGACTCAATTTGCCTATTTTGTCATATAGAAATTGGCAACGGATTTGGTTATTTTTAAAGCATTCTATAAAGCTTGCATTGTATGTTTGTGTACGTGGATAGATTTGCACTTATGCATGCCATCGTTGTTTACAATTTTAAATGGTGGTTTTCAAATGCTACAATAAGGGGAAATCCCATGCTAATACTGTAGCACACTCCCTGGGGTCCTGTCTTCTTTTCTGAAAACATCCTAGTTATCCAAGGAAAGCTGAGTCATTGTTTTCTGCAACAATTTTATTATTCGTGCATGATTGTGTAAAAATCTTCTGAAGAAGAGTCACTGGACCCAAAGTGTTAATTATGCTGCCAGACCTGCTGAGGGTTTTTCCAGTAATTTATGTTTTTGTTCATGTAAGAGTGAGTTGTAAATTGACAGCATTGCATCAACTTTGGAGAATCTCTGATATCTCCATTGTAGGCACCCAGGATCTGGGAAAAATAAGCAGTTTGGATCAGAGGCCTGTAGTCTTGCCAGTCCTGAATGGTGGTGGACAATTAAATGATTAACAGGAGGAGGAAGTTCCACGAATGTCCGTTTTTTAATAATGGAGGAGCCAAAAGACACGGCTGAAAGATTTGCAAACATCCTCAACAAGAAGTGCTGTTTGATTCAACTCTGCCTTGGTCCTGAAGTCTTCAGTATGGAAGATACCGATCTTCAGACAATTTTAATTCATTCTACGTGCTATCATGAAATGGCTGAAGGCACTGGATATCACAAAGGCTAAGGGCTTTAACAGTGTTTGGGTGGTAGTGCTGAAGACTTGTGCCCCATAATTACATGTACCAATCACCATGTTGTACAGCTAAAATGTTAGCATCTACCCAAAATTTATGAAATAATGGAAAATTGCCAAGCTATGTCTTGGCTTAAAAGATCAATGAAATCCAATCTGGCAAATAATTGCCCATCAGCCCCTGCTCAATTATCAACAATGTGATGGACGGTGTCGTCAACATTGCCCTCAAACAGCGCTTACACGTCAAATAACCTGCCCACTGATGCAGAATGTGGATTCTTCCAGGGCCTCTCAGTGCCAGACCTTTATTGCAGCTTTGGTCCAAGAAGGCAAAAGAGCTGAGTGTAGTGTTCAATGGTTTGACTCATCTGTGTTTGATTCTATTAGTCTGTTCTCTAATCAGTGCAACTGTGCTGGATTACTAAAGCTTTTGGGTGGAAATGGAGACGTAATTAAGATAGAGAATCTTCCCAGAGAAAAGACCTTGGTTCTGACCGAGTCCATTTGTATACTGAATCCTACATGTTCTGAGGTGTTTTAGAGTAACATTAATCGCCCCAGACTTTTAAAAAGAAACTGGTTTCATCTTTGCATTGCTGTAAGATAAGTCAGACTTATATACTGCAAACTATCAGATATGTGGTACTGAACTTGGAGGGAGGTGAAAGTGACATCAAGGCAGCATTTTTTGAGTGGCGTATCAAGGTGCCCTGGTAAAATTGAAGTCAGTGGGAATTGGGCTCAAAGCTCTCTATTGGTTGGAGTCATAGCTAGCACAAGAAAGATGGTTGTGGTTAGTGGAGGTCACTCATTTCATTCCTAGAACTTTGCTGTGGGAGTTCCTGAGGTTAGTGTCTAGGCCTGACCATGTTCAACTGCCTTAACAACAACCTGCCTTGCCCCAACATCTCAGCAGTGAGGATGTTTACTAATTATTATCCAGTGTTCAGTACAATTTATGGCTTCTCTGATACAAAAACAATTAGTGCAGGAAGATCTGGACAAAAGTCAGGCATGAACTGATAAGTGGCAAGTAATTTTCAAGCCATACAAGAAGCAGGCAGTATCTATGTCTGACAAGAGAGAATCAGACCTGCAATTTCAACCTTTCAGAAAGACAGGGTCAGCAGATGTATGGGAACGCAATGACTTGGAAGTTCCCTTCCAAACTGTACACCATCATGCCTTGGAATTATGTTGCCATTTCTTAACTATGTCGGCAAATCTATTGAAACTTCCTTTAACAGTGATGTGCATGTATTGGCACCAGATGTATTCACTCAAGCGGTTCAAGAAAGTGGATCATCACCACCTCCTTAAGGATAAGATAGCATTGGCAAAGATTGCTGGTTGTGACAGCGGCACCTGTATCCCTTGAGATAGTTTTAAAAAGCATTGAAGGAAGTGGTGCTGTTACATCTTAAAGTTGTCTGAATTGTGACAGCTTTGGGAATTGTTTGTCGATAGAGAAGCTAAGATCCTATTTGTTGTTTTATTTGGTTAAACAGGCATGCCAAGTACCTTTTCAACATTCATTCCTATTATTTAATGTTGCCCTATTTCACGTGGTTTGATTTCCCTATCGTTCAGTTAATGAGGCCTGTTGCATGATTCTGTTCTGAGCCATTTGATGGCAGTGTGATTTCAGGCTGAGACCCAATTAGTGCTATTTGAAGCAGTATGTGTTACCTCTTGTTATTGACCCTCTGACGTGCAGCTTCTCCCACTCCCAAACTCGCTCTTTTACCCATCACTGAAACTTTGGCTCTCTGACTCTGGTCACCGCTTCCCACTCTTGACTGGGCTGGGACCCTGGGGAGGTGACTGCAGTGAGACTTTCGAGGCTTCTGCACTGTTTGAGACCTGCACTTACACAGCCCTGAAGCTCCGACTTTGGAACCTTCATTTGCATTCATGGGAAGTCAGAGGTCAGGTCTGGTCTAATCTAAAGGCAGAGCTCTGAGGATGTGACAGGCCTAAACCATGCAGAAGACTGAGCTGAGGCTGTAATAATCCCTGAACTCGTGTCCCTAGGTTCTCATGTTGCTGCTGCCTCATTCACAGTGAGGGTTCTGAGGGGGACTTGGCAAGCAGCAAAGTCAGGAAATGGGAGGTTTGGCGAGATGGATAGACGAGAGGGTGAGACTTGGAGCAGTAGAGGCTGTAGGTTTGGATGGTCAGTGAGACAAAGGGTTAAAGAATCATACAGCATAGAAACAGACCCTTTGGTCCAACCATGTTCCCAAACTAAACTAGTTACACCTGCCTGCATTTGGCCCATATAACTTTAAACCTTTCCTATTCATGCACTTATCCAAATGTCTTTTAAACTTTGTAACTGTACTGCATCCACCACTTTCTCTGGCAAGTCATTCCACACACGAACTACTCTGTAAAAACAGTTGCCTATCAGGTCCATTTTAAATCTTTCTCCTCTCACCTTAAAAATATGCCCCCTAGTTTTGAACTCCTTCACCCATGGGAAAAGACTCTTGTTATTCAGTTTGTCCATGCCCCTCATGATTTTATAAACCTCAATAAGGTCACCCTTCAACCTCCTACGCTCCAGTAGAAAAAGTCCCAGACTTTCCAGTCTATTGTTATAACTCAAACCCTCCATTCCCTGCAACATCTTGGTAATTCTTTTCTGAACCCTCTCCAGTTTAATAATATCCTTCCTATAACAGGGTGACCAGAACTGCGCACGGTACTCAAGAAGAAGCTTCACTACTGTATATTTTAAAATGTATTTTATTTCAATGTTCTTTATTTAGCAAATTAAAAGTTAACCGTGTAAATGTACTTCAACTTACACAGTATAATGTTTTAATTTTCTTTTTCTGTGGAGGAAGATGCTACAGATGCAAACTCTAGTTTTAACACTGGTTTTAAACCGAAAATGGGATTTGCTTAGGTCATTTCACTTAAAGTTGAGCAACCACAACTTTGAGAGTGTTGTACTTTATCTTTCAACTTAATATTGCTGAATATATTTTAGCAGATGCTTCAGCTGTTTCACTTGTAACATTATCAAAGTTTGGTGACCTATCATTCCAACCAGTTAATGGATGATGGTCGGTATTTGCAAATTTCACTAAAAATACTCATTGTTAATGATCTGAACTCAAACTTTTACTAATTGCAATGAAAGTAATTGTGATAGTTACGAGAATGGTGAGATTTGAAACAGACTGTTCCAGGTCTGTGATTCTTTTCATAAAGGTAACTGTAATGCACTTGGGCCCATTTTAGCTGCAATTAAGTTTCATTGGGTCTGAATCTGCACATGCTCTAACTGCAGTACATTAACTGACTCCTGTCTATTATTTTCACAGAGGCCAGGAAGCTGCTCAGCTCCCCAAACACACCAGCTACCAGTTTGAATGAAAACAGCAAGTATAATTCATCTTGGGAAGTGAAGGAAGGCATGGTTTGAATGTCTCTCACTGGATGAAGATTGAAGAAACATCAACGGCTAAGGAATTAATGGAAAGGTGCAGAAACTCTGCCGCTTAACTGCAAAGCTCCTATTGTTTGGTTGTGAAAATCTGCACTCTGTCATCAGATCTGATACCATGTGACTTGCCCTCAAGCTATTATGATTTGTCAGCTAGATGCACTGGGCTCCACCTACTCGAGATGATGGGCATTCATGAGCGAGGCTAATACTGCACAATGATTTGACAGCAGGGCTGGCACAGTGCCTGCTTTACATCTCTGGATTTAGCAGCCTAACGCAACAAGGATATAAGCAGCTTATTGAGAAACAAACACGCTGCTGTGGAGGAAGTGGAATTTGAAAGAGAGTGCATTAACTGTCTTGAGGAAACCTGTGTGCACTGTGTGGTTAGCTGGGAGCTGATTTGTTCTGCTCGGGGTAACTACAGGACGAAAGTATTTTCCAGTCTGTAGTAGTATCACGAGTAGACGCAGACAAATGTGACTGCTGAGTCTCAAAGCCCTGTGTGAGAGCAGCTCTTAATTGCAGAGTGAGAGAGTGAATGATTTTTGTTTTTGCAGACTTTTGGTGCTCATGTTTGACTAACAATGGGAGGGAACCTAGGCTGCCACCGTTCAATCCCCAAAGATCCATTGGAGATAGGCCAGAATCGCAAGTTCAGTGCAGCATGTAACTTCAGCAATATTCTGGTGAATCAGGAGCGACTCAACATCAACACAGCTACCGAAGAGGAGCTTATGACCCTCCCAGGGGTGAACCGGATGGTGGCCCAGAACATTGTGGAGTACCGGGAGTGTATCGGCGGGTTTAAAAAAGTTGAGGATTTGGCACTGGTGAGTGGTATTGGTGCTGCCAGGTTGGAGCAGGTTAAGCTGGAGATCTGTGTGTCAAACAGTAAAAGCATTGGCTCAGCTCAGCACTCTCCCAGCTCCACGCGAAAGGATCCCTACTCTGAAACACTTTCCTCTGCCAGTAGGATCAACGTTAACACTGCTACAGTGTCCCAGCTGATGAACCTGCAGGGGATCAGCGACCGAATTGCACGAGGTATTGTGAGTTACCGGAAAGAGTGCGGACCGTTCGAAACTGTTGATGACCTGCTGAAAGTAACGTCTGTCAGCTCGTCGATCCTGGATACAGTCCGGCCTCGGATTGTTGCAGAGTGTTCACGGCCCACGTCCACCCACACGGCCAATGGTGGCATCGATTTCACAGCCAAGCCTCGGCCTAGCCCCACTTCACTCAGCCTGCAGAGTGAGGACCTGGACCTTCCTCCTGGTGGGCCAACTCAGATCATCTCAACACGGCCAAACGTGGAGGTTTTTAGCGGACTGAGAGATGGTGAGCGTGTCCTGAGGCTGGCCACTTGGAATCTGCAGGACTGCTCAATCGAAAAGGCCAATAACCCTGGGGTGAGAGAGGTGGTGTGCATGAGCCTTCTGGAGAACAGGTGAGCTTTGTATTCATGGTCTTTTCCATCTGGTTTTCAAAGGCTCTCCAATGCTTAGTCCTCTTCTCCAATATTTTGACCTGTTTCGCTTGTATTTTCTCTTAGACTCTTAAAAACCATTTGGCTTGTCATATGCTTGTGGTTCCATATTTTCCATTGGCAACTTTCCAGGAACCTTTTTTTTAGTATGTTTCACTCATTGCATTTCTCTAACGGTGCAGTTCAACGTTAAATACAAATGGTTCAGTCAACAACTCAAAGAGCATTAGGCTGAGCTATAGATTGCAGTTGCTTGGCTTTTTGCTTGCTAAACAAAAAAAAATGTTGAAAACTGACATTGCAGATTTGTGCATTTGCTCTTTGTTGAATATGAAAAGATAAACTTGGTTCAACATTATGGGTTATGAGGTAGGTTTAACTTCTGATAAAGTATATTTGCACTCAGAATGCCTCACTTCCTCACTCACCCTCAGCCAAATGGAAGGGGATGGTTGTCCTTATTTTAGAGTGGCATTCTGCATTCCTTCTAGTGGGTAAGATATCTTCAAAATGTGATCTCCCATTTCAGAATTCACTTGGACTCTCAATCCAGCTGGTTTCAGAGAGCTAAAGAAAACTAAAGGATTTTCCAGGCACATTGTGGAGTCAGAAATGGGCATCATTCCTTGCAAATATTTTCAATCTGGACTAGAGGTTCAAAATCAGGAAAGAGAGTATCATCCTTGTGAGCCTGTTCCGTCTTTCAATTAGGTGACACTTAACTTTATCCACCCACCTTCCTTCCATAACCTTTAACAACCTTTAGATTTTCTCAATTTCAGTGTTGAAGCTGGAAATTGAGCCAGCCTCAGGGAGGTAGGTCTGGAGATTTTTATGAATGCTTCCTACATCACTGCAGAACAGCATAACTCTAATTTCAAGGCTGTGCTCCTTTGTTCTGTATTCCCTCACCTTGTCAATTCATTCAGTCATCTTAGGCAATGTGAATTAAATCATCTCTTAGTGGTTTACATTTCAAGAATACAAGTTTTGAATATGCAAATCTGTGCCTTGTAACGTAGTCTCTTTTTTAGCCCAGATATTATTCTGGTGAATCTGCACCGTACAAGTTCTGTAGCAGGTATATCCTTTCTGTGGTAACCAGGACTGAACGCTGTGCTCTAACTGGGATTGAACCAGCTTCAGTTCCGAGTGTTTAATGTAGTGTTGGGTAGACTGAAGTCAGGAGCGTGTTGTAGATGGTCTGATTTTTACTGTGTTTGAGACTCCTCTTCAATGTCCCAAAGGGGGTTTTGAAAGTGACTCCTTAAGCTTCCACTCTGTGGGGCCGAAATGCTCTTTGGAAGAGTTTTTTTCCATTTTTCCTCTTCCTTCGATGCTTCCCTCAAAATGTCTCGGAGCAGCAGTTGGTTTGCCAAATGTTGCACCTAGAAATAACTTTTTGGTAGTGGCAAACCTCGGGGATTTTCTTTTTAATTTTGAGATGAGGTCACAAACTAGGCCAGCATTTGTTGTCCATCTCTAATTTCCCCTGAGTAGGTGCTGTTGGACTGCCTTCTTAAACAGGTGCATTACATGTGGTGTAGGTAGTCCCAGAGTGCTATTACGAAGGGATTTTTGACCCAGTGGCGATGAAGAAATGCTGATGCAGTTCTAATTCAGAATGCTATACAACTTAGTGGGGAATTTATGTAATATGCCCCCTCACCCCGTGTATCTGCTGCCCTCTTTCCTTCTTTTCCGGTCATGAATTTAGCAAGTGCTGTAGAAGGAGCCTTGGTGAGTTACTGTGGTACATCTTGTAGATGGTGCGCACTGCTGCCATTTGTGTATCAGTGGTGGAGGGTGGTGGATGCGGTGGTAATAAAGTGTGCTGCTTTACTTTGTATGCTATCAAATGTCTTGAGTTAGGTTGCAGTCATACTCCAAGACAAGTGCAGAATATTCCATCACACTCCTGACTTGTGCTTTGGAGTTGGTGGGCAGGCTTTGGGAAGAGAGGACATCTATGAAGGAAAAAACAGCGTTAACGTTTCAGGTCCGGTGTTCTGAGAAAGGGTCACTAGACCCGAAACGTTAACCCTTTTTTTTCTCTTTTCCTTCACAGATGCTGCCAGACCTGCTGAGCTTTTCCAGCAACTTTGTGTTTGTTCCTGTTTTACAGCATCCTCAATTATTTCGGTTTTTATTTGGGAAGAGAGGAGATGAGTTACTCGCTGCGGGATTCCTAGCTTTTGACCTGCTTTTGTAGCCACAGTATTTGTATGCCTGCTCCAGCTCAATTTCTGATCAACTCACAGGAGGTTAATTGTGGGGGATTGCCATTAAGACAGGCCGATTACACAGTGGTAGCATTCCTACCTCTGTACCAGAAATCAACCATGCCAGTGCCTTTATGTAGCACTGTGGCTCGGCGGTTAGCACTGCTGCAAAGCACCAGGGACCTGGGTTCAATTCCACCCTCAGGCAACTGTCTATGTGGAGTTTGCATATTCTCTCTGTGTCTGTGTGGGTTTCCTCTGTGCTCTGGTTTGCTCCCACAGTCCAAAGATGTGCAGGCTAGGTGGATTGGCCGTGGAAAGTGCAGGGTTACAGGGATAGGGTAGGGGGTTGGCTCTAGATGGGCTGCCTTTTGGAGGGTTGGTGTGGACTTGATGGCCGAAAGCCCTGCTTCCACACTGTAAGGACTCTATGATACCTTTGATCACAGAAGATGTGTTTGTGATGTGGCCAAACATGTTAATTATCAGTTGTAAATCCTTCTAGTATGCTTGTTGGCAGGTCGTAAGAGTGGAAGAGCTTCATGGTCAACTGACCAGCAGTAAATGACAGCAAACCACTGCTGTACTTTGCCCACGAGCAACAGACTGAAGTCCATAGCTGAATTCTCAGAAATGAGGGAGGGTGAAAAGATAGACAAAAGAGAATTAAATATCAAGGAGAGGTGGTTAGATTCTCTTTCTTGCCTGGAACTTGTGTGACATGAATATTCTTTGCCCAAGCCAGAATTTGGTCCGGGTGTTAGTATATAAAGACATGGGCTGCTTCAGTACTCAAGGAGTTGTGAATGGTGCTATCATCAGCAAACATCTCCACTTCTGACCGTATGATGGAGGGAAAGTCAATATGAAAGAACTGAAGATGGATAGGCCTAGGACACCAGCTTCAGGAACTCTTGAAGTGAGGACACTGGTCTTCCATCAGGACAATGATCTTGCTGTGTGGTAAGTATGACTCCTCGTCGTGGAGAAATATCCCTCGATTCCCACTGATTCCAAGTCTGATAGAGTTCCTTGATGCCATACTTAGTGAAAAGCTACTTTAATGTCAAGGGTAATCACTCTGACCTCACCTCTAGAGTTCAGTTTTATTTTGTCTGTTTGGATCATGGTAGTAATGAGTCCAGGAGTGGAGTAGCAGTGGTGGAACCAACCTGCATCAGTGAGCAGGCTATTGCTGGATTATTCTCACTTGATAGCATTGGCAATGACCCTTCCCATCACTGCGTTGATGAGAGGACTGATGGGTAATTAGCCAATGAGATTTATCCTGCTTCTTCTGTACAGAACATACCTGAGCTTAGCTGTCTCTATTCCACTCTGCTTCTGCTGTTTTAGCCTGCATCTAAACCTGCATTGTAGCTTTACCAGTATGCCACCTAATTTTAGGCTTGCCTGTCGGCACATCCTTTTGTAGTTGTCGTTAAACAGAGTTGGTGCCTTGGTTTGAGGGCTATGCTGGTTCATTCTGTTATAGATTTGTTTTATTATTCATTCATAGAATGTGGACATCACTGACTAAGTCCTAATTGCTCAGAGTCAACTTCCTTGCTGTGGGTTTGGAGTCACATGTAGGCCAGACCAGGTGAGAATGACATATTTCCTCCCCTGAAGGGCATTAGTGAATCAGGTGGATTTTTTTTAACATGGTTATCATTAGGCTAGATTTTTTTTTTTTGCTTTTGAATAGTAGCCAGATTTCACCATTTAGCACAGTGGGATTTGAGTCAATGTCCCCCGAGGTTCAGAAATACTAGTCCAGTTACTTTACAATCAGGCCACTGCTTTTCCACTATGTTTAGTGTTCCTTCTAAGCTGTGTGGGTGCGTGGCTGCACAGCAATTGAGGTCTGATCCCACAGGGAATAAATCGGCTGTACCTGACTAACAATCTCTTTAAGATGTCACACATAAAATCGCGCAGGAATCCTATTGGGACCGGACAATGAAACAAACAGGTCATGTACACCAAAAAGTTGACATACTGCAAAAGCAGGCCATGTATACAAAGGGAATGTAGATGGAACATTGATCGCCAATCCTGGGGGTTAGCCTACTGGCCTTAGGATTTGAACATTAGAATCCTGGACAGTGCTATATACAGTCCAGGAGGAAGACCATCGAGACGATAAAAATTATTTTAGATGGGAGATTAAAAAGCTCTTTGACTGGTTATCAAGACTTATTCAGTGGAATGGTGAATGAGATTTGTGTTTTTCCATTGGTATGAGTAAGAACTGATCCAGGTAGGATATCATAGAATCCCTACGGTGTGAAAGCCAGTCATTTAGCCCATCGAGTCCGCACACTCTTTTTGAAGAGCATCCCACCCAGACCCACTCCCCTATCCGATCCCTGTAACTGTGCAATTCCCGCAGCCAAACGGCTTAACCTACACATAGAATCATAGAATCCCTACAGTGTGGAAACAGACCCTGCGACTCAACAAGTCCGCACCGACCCTCAGAGCATCCCACCCAGACCCATCCTACATAAACCACATACCCTGCATGTCTTTGGACTGCAGGAAGAAACCAGAGCACCCGGAGGAAACCCATGCAATCATGGGGAGAATGTGCAAACTCTACACAGACAGTTGCCCAAGGGTGGAATCAAACACGGGTCCCTGGTGCTGTGAGGCAGCAGTGCTAACCACTGAGCCATTGTGCTGCCCATGATATGATATGATAGTTAATGGTGGGAGTGTGGGGATAGGACATTG